GAACCTTTAAGATAGCGTATCGTTCGTAGAGCAGCATTCCAATGAACAACAAGCGGAGATTGCATAAATTGAGATAAGATATGAACAGCGTAAGCAATATCCGGTCGAGTGAAAGAGAGATATATCAAGCGTCCCACTAGTCGACGATAAGCTGCCGGATTGTGGTAATGTGGACAAACGGCCAGAGAGAGCTTGTGATTAAGCTCCATCGGTGTAGAAGAAGGTTTGGCGCCGAGAAGGCCAGTCTCGGAAATAATGTCCAACGCATATTTGCGTTGAGAGAGAAAAATACCTTCGTTGTTGCGAGCAACCTCAATACCTAAGAAATATTTGAGTTTCCCCAAGTCTTTCATATGGAAGCATTGGTTAAGATAGTTCTTGAACCGTTGAATGGTACTGAGATTGTTGCCTGCAATAATAAAATCGTCCACGTAGATAAGAATGTGTAGAATGGTGTTGTCGTTTGTGTAGGAGAAGTGAGAGTAGTCCGCAGAGCTTTGCTTAAAGCCGTAAGTCTTGAGTGCCGAGCTGAGTTTAGAAAACCAACAACGAGGTGACTGCTTGAGCCCGTATATTGATTTGCGGAGACGACAAACTTTAGTTGGATCTGGATCTTCAAAACCAGGAGGAAATTTCATGTAAACCTCTTCTTTTAAATCCCCATGTAAGAACGCATTGTGAACGTCCATCTGGTGAATTTCCCACTTCTTTGCAGCTGCGATTTGAAGCAACACACGGACAGTTGTAGGCTTAGCGACTGGTGCAAACGTATCGGTGTAGTCAAGACCTTCTCTTTGCCTGTTTCCAAGCGCAACAAGACGAGATTTCTTGCGAGAAGGCTTGCCGTTCGATAAGTACTTTGTCTTATAAATCCACATGCACCCGATTGCCTTCTTACCACGAGGCAAAGTGGTAACATCCCAAGTGTGTTGATTATCAAGAGCCGTATACTCAGCTGCCATAGAATCATTCCATTCATCATCAAGACAAGCTTCTTTGTAGTTAGCAGGGTCCGTTGTAGAAGTAACGGCCGCAAGAAAAGCTTGATGTCCTGGAGAAAACTTAGCTTGTGAGAGATAAGAAGATATTGGATACAGAGTGTTACCTGAGACCGCGATAGGAGGACCAGGAGCAGGAGACGAAGAAGCAAGAGGGGGGTGTTGAGTGGCGTTAACAACGTAATCCTTGAGTAGTATAGAAGGTGTACGTGATCGATGACCACGGCCAAGAAGCTCAGGAAGACCCGGAGAAGTCGGCTCAGGTTGATCATGGAGAGGTAACACACTAGTGGCAGTGTCAGAAGTTGGAGAAGATACAACTGCAGGTGGAGAGGAAGGAGCTTGCGAGGTATCTGTGGTAGGAGGTATGGTTGTAACTGGAGTAGAAGGAGTAGGATCATGGGAAGTTGTTGCCGGAGGTGTGGAAGCAGTAGGACTAGTAGCAGTGGGAACGATTGTGGTTGGAAGAGGGTTAGCAGGAGAAGAAGGAGTGGTTATGGCTGTAGTAGGGGTAGCAGGGAACGAAGTAGAGGGTAAAAGGAAATCGTCAATAGCGGGATCGGGTTGGTATACAGAAGGTGTAGCGTAGTTAGTATCAGGTACTCCTGGAAACTGATCTTCAAGAAAAATAACATCTCGACTAGAAAAGAACTCATTACGTTCGAGATCGTAAAGCTTCCAAGCTTTCTTCCCGTATGGATAGCCGACAAAGAGACACTTACGGCTACGATCTGCAAACTTGTCCTTGTCTCTTGAGCGTGTATGAGCATAGCAAAGGCAACCAAACGTCCGCAGACTATCATAGGACGGAGCCGATCCATGCAGCATTGCGTAGGGAGTGTTGCCGTCGAGAAGTGTAGTAGGTGTTCGGTTAATCAGGTAAGCGGCGGTGAGAATACTTTCTCCCCAAAAAGAAGTCGGAAGTTTGGCTTGAAAGAGCAGAGCACGAGCTATGTTAAGGATGTGCCGGTGTTTGCGTTCGACACGGCCATTTTGTTGAGGTGTGTCAACACAAGAAGTGTGATGTTGAATTCCATGCTCGCGAAAATAACCAGATAGAGTCATAAACTCAGTGCCATTATCAGAACGAACCACTTTGACAGGTCGTCCAAACTGTTTAATGCTCATGGCGCAAAAGTTTTGTAGTAAACGCTTAACTTCGGATTTCTCAAGCATGAGATAAGTCCAGACAGCCCTCGAGAAATCATCAACAATGGTTAAAAAATAAGCAGCACCGCAGGAAGATAAAGTGCGATAAGGTCCCCATACATCGACATGTATTAAATCAAAAGGTGCAGTAGCTTTATTATTGCTCAGAGGAAAAACAGAACGTGTTTGTTTTGCGCGAAGGCAAATATCACAAGAATGAGAATCAAAATCAACTGGTAAAGCAGAAAGAGCCGGTAAAGATGAAAGCACTTTAGAAGATGGATGTCCTAGTCTTCGATGCCAAAGAACTGTCGGAGATATCTTTCCCTTTCCAGACGCATTAGCCCTAGCAACTGTGACACCCTTGAAATAGTAGACCCCCTCTCGTTCCTCACCTGCTCCAATCAGGGTCCTCGTAAAACGGTCCTGTAAAACACATATTGTATCAGTAAAAATCGCAATGCCTCCTGTTTCTTTCAGTAGTTTCGAGACTGAAAGCAGAGTACAATTGAATTTAGGGACATAAAGAACATTAGACAAAGAGTAGTCTTTGTTCAACGGCAAAGTGCCAATATGTGTAGCACGAGATGCTGAACCATCGGGAAAAGTCACCGCTGATGGTATAATCTCAATAACATCTCGTAAAAGGGAAAGATCACCGGTCATATGATGCGAAGCCCCGGTGTCTAAAATCACATCGGTTGGTTTGGTCTTACCAGATAAACGGTCGGTTGATAGTTGACTCTGTTGGTTTTGAAGTAAACTGATCAAGGTTGCAATTTGATCTGGTGTTGTAAGAGATGTAGATGTAGAGTTGGCGGAAGCGGTAGTGATATTAGATCGTCCACGGCCACGACCTCCTGAAGAAGAACGACCACCACGACCTCGTTGCATCTGAGAAGAAGATGATGAACGTTGTTGTTGTTGTTGTTCAAGGAACCAGTCGGGATATCCGTGTAATAAAAAACATTCTGAGGCCTCGTGTCCTTTACGTTTGCAGTGGGTGCAGCTGCGATTAGGATCACGACTTCTGGAGCCAACAGCCGTAGTGATGGTAGAAGGCTGAAGAGGAGACTCTGTTTTGACGTTGAATCCAAGAGCATCCTGCTTCTGTTCCGAAGAACGCATAGTATTGAGATGTTGTTCTGCTCGTACAACTCTGGAGTAGGCAACATCAAGATTAGGTAGAGGATCCTCATCAATAATTTGAGAACGAATGGTGCTGAAACGTGTATCGTCAAGACCAAACAAAAATTTGTGTACTTTTGCGTCTTCACGTTCCTTCTCAAGTTCAGTAGAAGCAGCACAAGTACAAGGAGTAGAAGACTTAAACGTCTGGAGTTCTTCCCAGAGCTTAGATAGTCGTCCGTAGTAGTCAATAACAGATTTCCCGTTCTGTTTACAGTTTGTAATATCATCTTGTAAAAGATGCTTGCGCACACTGTTTTTAACGGAGAAACGAGACTTAAGAGATTCCCACAATTTTAAAGCATCAGCGACGTGAGAAACGGTAGAGCGAACGACCGGATCGATGGAGGTACGCATCCATCCGACGATCATCGAATTTATAGAAGTCCAACGAGCTAGATCAGGGTTCGAAGTTGGCTTAACGATGGAACCATCAATGAACCCTATCTTCTGTTTAGCTTGGAGAGAATTCCAAAACTCTGTTGCCCATTCAGAGTAATTATCACCTTTAAGAAGTACCGGAGTTATTAAAGCACCCGGATTATCGGAATGATGTAAGGTATAAGAAGGATCTGACGAGGAACTTTCCATGGCAGTAGAAGTAGCAGAAGAAGAAGTAGACATGATCACGAGATCGTGTGTAGTAGTAGAAGAGNAGCTTGGAGAGAATTCCAAAACTCTGTTGCCCATTCAGAGTAATTATCACCTTTAAGAAGTACCGGAGTTATTAAAGCACCCGGATTATCGGAATGATGTAAGGTATAAGAAGGATCTGACGAGGAACTTTCCATGGCAGTAGAAGTAGCAGAAGAAGAAGTAGACATGATCACGAGATCGTGTGTAGTAGTAGAAGAGGAAAAAAAATCGATCAAAGGTAGCAAGATTTTAGGTCAAAGGTCTTGTAGCTCTGATACCATGAAATATTATGTAAAGCGTGTGTTTATTGATTCACATGAATGTGTTTATATACAAGAGATGACATCCTTATCCTAGAATAACTAAGTATTTAGATAATTACAACATAATAATCTATCATTATCTCTATAGATCATCTATCCATGGTATACGGGATCCAAGTATCCGATTCTTAATTTTAAAAAGTTGGGAATTAACGAGACTTATAAAAGAAGTTACAAGTGCTTCTTTTCAATCGATTAGTGGTATACAAATACTAACATTTATATTAAACTCATTTCATTTTCCATATAATTAAACACGAGAATTCGGTGTCATTCGTCCAAGTGTCAGCTCCGCAGATGGCCAAAAATCAAGGCCGATGCCCGAGGAAATGATCAAACGGCGGTGGAAGGAGGAGAGAAACACAAGAATGTTTCCAAAGGATAGACTATTAATTATACATTTTGTACAGAAGATTAAGCAAACACATTACAGGAGAGGGGTTCACTAAGAGCACGTGCTGCCTGGTTCTTCATTTTCACTAAGCTTTTTTCTTCCCAAACAGCTGTTGCATAGCTGTCTGATCTCTCTCTCTCCCCATGTGAGCCCACTAAGAAGAAATAACCCTTTGAGATCGAATCCATATATGATATTTATAATATTTTTCTAGCTTTTTCTATTATAAAATTATCTCATCTCATGCATCTTGCTCTCTCTATATCTCTTACTTCTGTTTTGTATAACTATTCTTTGTTATACATAGCCTTTTTACTCTTGTTTGTTTTTCGTTCCTTCTCTTCCTCTAATGATTCTTCCTATGTTTTAGGACTTTGAATGATCTAAATTCCAAATTCTTCTTGATCCCTCACTGAAATTTTGATCATAATTTCCTTTGTGTTTCTCAATTTCGTTACTCATAATTTAATTCTTTTATTCTTTTTTTTTTGTTGTTCTTGGGTGTGCCATTAAATCTCATTAATGGCACAACTCCCTCCAAAAATCCCAACCATGACGACTACAACCACGCCGCATTGGCCTGACTTTTCCTCTCAGAAACTCCCGTCCATCGCCGCAGCCGCAGCAACCGCGGGACAACAAAACCCTTCATGGATGGATGAGTTTCTCGACTTCTCATCAACTCGTCGTGGCACCCACCGTCGCTCAATCAGCGACTCCATCGCTTTCCTAGAACCACCTTCCTCCTCCGGCGTAGGAAACCACCACTTCGACAGGTTCGACGACGAGCAGTTCATGTCCATGTTCAACGACGACGTACACCAAAACCACCATCACAACAGCGTCAACGGAAATGTTGGTCACACGCGTTCTTCTTCCAACACGTCTCTACCGTCCGATCAAAACAGCCTCAGCGAAAACGACAACAAAGAACAACCACCGTCCGATGATCATGATCACATGGACACCACCACAGCCAATGACGACAACAACGTCGCCGGTAACAATTACAACGAATCAGACGAGGTTCAAAGCCATTGCAAGACGGAGCCACAGGACGGTCCGTCTTCAACGAATCAAAACTCCGACACTCGGATTCACGACCCCAAAAGAGTAAAAAGGTAATTTCAGCATTTGTTTCTAAAATTACTTTGTCCAAAACAAAAAAGCAAGGTCATGCATGCACGTATAGTTATGGTATCTAGGAATTCGATATATATAGATAGGACCACATCGATTATTATTATTTATATTATATTTTTCTGAAATTTCCTGCAGAATTTTAGCAAATAGGCAATCAGCACAGAGATCAAGGGTGAGGAAACTGCAATATATATCAGAGCTCGAACGGAGCGTTACTTCATTGCAGGTAAAGTTTACACACATGCATGCATCATTACGTAGATAACTGTTTGTTAATGAATATAAAGCATCCGAAATCAAATCAAATATGCTAATTTGTAATTAAAATTGTGGACTGAAGACGGAAGTGTCAGTGTTATCGCCAAGAGTTGCGTTTTTGGATCACCAGCGATTGCTTCTCAACGTCGATAATAGCACTATCAAGCAACGAATCGCCGCATTAGCACAGGACAAGATTTTCAAAGACGGTAATTTTTCCAATTTTAATTTTTGTTTAATTCAAATTTTCGTTATTTACCTTAAATTATAAAATTTTAATTATTAAACTATGGAAAATGTGTTTTTATTACTGTATTGCCATTATTTTCACTCTATGTATTTAATTATCACTGATAATATGTAGGCTCGACAAATCATTATTCCTTAGCAAAACGAATATACAAGGAAGTACTTGCCGCAATGCATGCTTCATCATTCTTATAATTACAAACTTTAAATGAAAAATAATATATGTTCAAATCGTAAATAATTTTATAGTAGACTTTGTTTTTTTTCTTAATTTTAATGGTTTACATACTCTCTACTAAAAAATAGCTAGTGGTTTAATAAACAATATATAGCCTGGCTAATAAGCTAGAACAACTGTCCATGTGTGCACATATGACGACATAAGTATTTGATAAAACATGCAAGTAGTCCTTTGAACATTTAGGTTTATTAATAACATATCGTGCTAAAATAATAATAATAATAATAATAATAATAATAATAATAATAATAATAATAATAATAATAATAATAATAATAATAATAAAAAATAACAATGTTGTGAATATTTTCAGCTCACCAAGAAGCATTAAAGAGAGAAATAGAGAGACTTCGACAAGTATATCATCAACAGAGCCTCAAGAAGATGGAAAATAATATCTCCGACCAATCTCCGGCCGATATCAAACCGTCCATTGAGAAAGAGCGGCCCCTCAATGCTTAAAGATATTTCCCCTTCATTATTATGATATAATTATCTCTTCACGGCTAAAAGATCCTTGACTATAAAACCTCTTTAACTTGTGTCAATATATAGATTATTTAATGATCAAAGAAGAGGGCATTTTTATTTATTCTTATTACAGTTTTTAACATGTGATGAATCTGCTTTGATGTGTCTGATTTTTTATATTTTCCTTATGGAGTGGTATGTAAAAAGAATTTAGCTGATTTGTTGTTTATTCAATATTTTTGTTGGAGTGTCTCAAGCATTAACTTTGTACTAATTGACACTGTTCTTAACAGTTTTCATCAAGTTCTTGCCATATGTAGGGTAATAGAAAAGTTAAGATTCGTTTTTATCACATGGATCAAGTTTTTGAGGTGTGACATGCGTCCATATGATAATAAAATATAATAATTGATACTGGTTTAATTCTGATAAAAAGCACAATTTTGCTGAACCATGAAACGTCCATATGATAAAATATAGCTTGAAGTGACTGAAAGCGATTTCATATTTGTAAAACCTTCATACGAAACTATTTCATCATTATTGATAGAGAAACATTTAATTATTATGATTTCAACAACGAAAACAAGTAAAACGAAAAATGTTACTATTTCCTTACGCAAGGCCTAGAGATGTAGAATTGTAGACGATGTAATCTAGAATCCATACGGTATAAACTAAAGAGAGAACATGGACAATGGATACATATGAAGGCTAGCTGTACGTAAGTTCACGTGCTATGTTCCTTGTGTTGGACCACTCCTGTAGAGCCGGTTCTGACTTTTTGGTGACTAGAAGCGAAGAAAACAAAAAGTTGTTCATAAATTTTCCTACTAATTGTTTTGGATTAAAAAAAAACAAGTGTTAAATAAAACCGGTCTAAAACATAAAAGATCAATACATCACTGTTGAAATATGATTCTTCTTGCATTTCTTCCCGCAAACTCATTCATCAAAGTTGTATAATCAATCTTCTCAGCCATATCCTTTTCGATCGACAACATTGACAATCCATTAAGTCTCTCTTGTGACATACTCGACCATAGATAAGATTTTATGAGCTTCAACTTTGAATAACTTCTTTCTGCTGAGGCAACGAAAACAGGAATTGTCATCATTATACGATATGCTGTCCATGTATTTGGATAACAATTCCCTCTTTTTTAAAAACTCCAATATTTCAGAAACCTTCTTAATACCTTCAGGTAAACTTCCTCTCAAAAGCTTCAGTTCCAAAAACAAATCATTACCATCAATATCAGAATAATTACCATGTTTCAGAAAAGCTTCAAGGTTAGTACAAGAAATCATTAGATTTTATTTAAGTCGAATAAGAATCCAAAAGTCTTTTCATAACCTTGAAGCTGATCAAACCTGTCTCAAGAGAAACCAAACCTTGATCCACAATTTTGATGAAGTAGTTGATCCTAAAGTCTTCTTCTGGTGTTAATATCACATCTTCTCCAACTTTATCTGGCTCTTCATCATGAAAATATTTTTTTCTAGTAGGACGTTTTGCTTTTCTAGAGAACACATGATCAATTTCCATTTCTATAGCAATCTTTTCAGCTTCTACCTTGGCTGCTTGAAAGCCTGTTTCTCTATAGTCCTTAAAAAAAAGAAACAAGTCCTTTCAGTTGAGCAATAGCAATATCAATATCCATATCTGCTGATTGCAGGATCTTGCTTACTTTGTTAACAACAAACAAAAGCTCATACCAAATAAACATTCCAAACAGAAACTCAAAACTCCCTATTCCATGGGTTTCACTCATGGCAAGAGACTCAGCATCACTTCTTGTTCCCAGATTCTTACTGTTTTCTGCCAAGTAAAACAATGCTTCTCGTATCTTAGGAGCTTGAAACCGTATTGCTTTGATGTTGTTGATGCGACTCTCCCAACGAGTTGGTGATAATGGCTTAACTGTAATGCCATTCACAATCTCCTTAAAAATGTCACAGTTATTTGTTGAAGAGGAAAACAAGTGATATATGCGTTGAACAACACCAAAAAACGCTACTGCTATGTCCGACGAAGAAGCAATATCTGAAAGGGCAAGATTCAAACTATGGCAACCACATGGTGTGTAAACAGCTATTGGATTAATTTCCAGCAATCTCTTTTGTACTCCTTTATGTTTACCTTTCATATTTGACCCATTATCATAACCTTGCCCTCTAATGTCATCAATATTCAACCCCAAATCAACCAATATATTTTGAAGGGTGCCAAAAAGACCTTCACCAGATTTGTCTTTAATTTCCAAGAATGTCAAAAAGAACTCTTCGATCTTTGGTGAGGTCTCAGAAATATCTACACATCGGATGACCAGTGACATCTGTTTTGTGAGGCTGATATCAGGAGTACAATCAAGAATAACTGAATAATATTTTGCACATCGAATCTTCTTTAAGATCATTGTTTTGATCTCACTCCCAAGCATCTGTATCAACTCATTTTGAATTTTGTGACTCAAATAATGATAACGAGTTTCATGCTTTTCAATTCGTCTAATGTGCTCTTTCGTCACTTCATCGAAATCTGCAAATACTTTAATCATGCCCAAAAAATTTCCATTACCAGCCACACGGATCTTGTCAGTCTTTCCACGAAATGCCATATTCTGTTTAGCAAGGCCTTTCACCAATGCAATTATCCTCAACAATACATCTCTCCAGTATTGTTTCTCTTTGTTAACCTCTTCTTGAATATGTTTGTCAATGGTCTGAGTCGTCTTTAGCCTCACTTCTAACTCTATCCACTGAGTCATACATACGATATGCTTTTGACTTTTTTCATGCTCCTTTAGCATTTTGAAATATTTCTCCAGTCATTGTATCCACTAGTTGCAATCTGATTAGAGTTTCTGTCTTGGGTAAATAGTCTACAGCAAAAACAGAAGACCTTATCTTTTACTTTGGAGTAAACTAACAAGTGTCTATCTTGCTTCTCTCCATTTCTTATTTCTCTTGTATAAGACGAATGAGAAAAACATCTACCAACATAATCTCTTGGAAAATGGTAATCAATCGGCAACCGCATAGTTGGACCTTTCTGGACAAGAAAATCTCTGATTCTATTATCAATTTTTTTTTCCAGTTTCCAGGATCATTGACATCTCCACTTATTTGGTATTCTTTAACACCATCCAATTTTTTCTCTTCGTCCTTATTTTCAGTCTCTTTTTTTGCTCTCACTACCAGCTTCGCTCCCATTATTATTCCTATTCTGATCCACATCCAAGTTTTGTTCATCTTCATCAATATCACCATCCTCCATATCTTCTATAGTCTCATCTTCGACAACCTCATCATATTTAGGAGCTTCAGTTTTTTTAACATACCTTAACATTGAATTAGCTTGAGATTTTATGAAAGCTTCTTCTTTTTTCTTTTTTCTTTCTTTTTCAGCACCCCCATCTCTTTTCTTCTTCTTTTAGGACCTATCTTTCTGCAATGATTAAAAGAATATTAGTTACTATGAACAAACACATATAGACTATCACGAGAAGATAAAATATATTTAAAATATGAAAATAACCAACTATGTTACAGAATAATAGAATTACTACTTGATCAAGAAGAAGAGAAGACAATCGGTTTCTAGTTACAGAAATAGAAAAGAATAAGTAAGGGATTCAAGTAACATGAATTAGAATGATGATATCAATTGAAGAGATGTTTAGACTTGAGCTTGGGATAATGACAAAAAAAAGACGCAAAATTTTAGGTCAACCATATTTTCCTTTTTATTAAGTTAATTTAGCATTATTTTTATTGTAAATTCGGAAAAGAAAATTGCGACATGTGGGAATCGAACCCAGGGCCAACCGCAATAAACCCTTACGTTAAGCCACTACACTACCGTGTACCCTTAAAATTAATTTGTGGCCGGAAATTTTATATATATTTGGCGGCCCCAAGCAAATGCTTGATGGGCTTGGCCCAAGGGCCGCCTCTGCACGGGACATCACCTCCAATGCCCATCCTCCTCATCACTCAATCTCCTATACCCACTAAAATCATCTATACCTCTATTTCATAATTCTTTTTTTGATCAAAACCTAAACTCTTAAATTAAATCCTCCCCGGTGTTCAAAACTAAACAAACCCCCCCCCCCCAATGAATGGGTGAACCCATGGGCAAATATTTAAATTCTATAGCTTTCAAATTCGAAAAAAATATTTTAAAATCGTTTTAATCATATTTTGATGATTTTCGTGAAAATATTCAAAAAACGTTTTTTGAAATAATTTTATCAAATTCTATAAATCAAATAAAAAATATTCACGTTTCAAGTTTAATTTTATGTTTTTTTTGTTTGACATATAAAATTAAAAGAAGAAAAGTGTCTAAGCGAGATTAAAGGTTGAGATATATGGGTATAAGAGATGATGTTCCCCTCTGCACTCCGGTCTCGCTACATAATTGGATTTGTTTTCCCCTCTTTTTAGTTTGTTTTATTTGCTTAACAAATTTCAAACCACATAACTGAAAAATGTTTTAATTTTATCCAAAATTAAAACTGAGAAAATAATAAAGTCACAGAGGAAAGATGCAAAGACAGTAAGATTCTTTTTTTTTTGAAACACAGACAGGAAGATTCACTTAAGAGGATTATCAAAATAACTTTGAAGAGGGTAAAGTACTTCAAGAGAATCTCAAGTTTCTTCTGTGGCAGCAGCAATTGTAGAAGTCTCACCATCCTTTCTTACAGACTATGGTTGGACAAAAATCCAAACCCAAGAAACCTAACAGAATCCGATCCGTAAATTTAGTATCGAATCCAAATAGAAACTAGTTAAATATCCAAACAATTTTAAAATTTTGGTATCTATGGAACGTGAACCAAACCCCATCCGAAAGAAATATTTTGGATATCCAAATATATCTGAATATATTTGAATCAAAAGTATATACTTAAATATATTAGTTATTTTTAGATTTAATATCCAAATATATCTAAGATGTATAATATTTTTTGTAATTG